CTTGGGAGCCTTGAAGGTGAGGGTGGCGGCGGGCTTGGGGGAGGCGGGCTGGGCGGTGGCGGCGAGGGTGGCGGCGGCGAGGGCGGTGGTGGCGAGGGAGGCGGCGGCGACGGCGGCGGAGGCGAGGGCGGCGGCGGGCTCGGCGGAGGCGGGCTGGGTGGCGGCGGTGAGGATGGCGGCGGCGAGGAGGGTGGCGGCGATGGCGGCGGAGGCGACGGTGGTGGTGGCCACGGAGGCTGCGGCGACGGCGCCGGAGGCGAGGGCGGCGGCGGGCTCGGCGGGGGCGGGGTAGGTGGCTGCGGAGGCGAGGGCGGTGGCGGGCTCGGCGGAGGCGGGCTGGGCGGCGGCGGTGAGGGAGGCGGCGGCGAGGGGGGTGGCGGCGAGGGAGGAGGCGGCGACGGCGGCGGAGGCGAGGGCGGCGGCGAGCTCGGTGGAGGTGGGCTGGGCGGCGGCGGTGAGGGTGGCGGCGGCGAGGGCGGTGGCGGCGAGGGAGGAGGCGGTGAGGGTGGCGGAGGCGAGGGCGGCGGCGGGCTCGGCGGAGGTGGGCTGGGCGGCGGCGGTGAGGGTGGCGGCGGCGAGGGCGGTGGTGGCGAGGGCGGTGGAGGCGACGGTGGTGGTGGCGACGGAGGCTGCGGCGACGGCGGCGGAGGCGAGGGCGGCGGCGGGCTCGGCGGGGGCGGGGTAGGTGGCTGCGGAGGCGAGGGCGGTGGCGGGCTCGGCGGAGGCGGGCTGGGCGGCGGCGGTGAGGGAGGCGGCGGCGAGGGGGGTGGCGGCGAGGGAGGAGGCGGCGACGGCGGCGGAGGCGAGGGCGGCGGCGGGCTCGGCGGAGGTGGGCTGGGCGGCGGCGGTGACGGTGGCGGCGGCCAGGGCGGTGGTGGCGAGGGCGGCGGAGGCGAGGCGCGGCGAACGTGAGGGCGTCTGCGGGCTCGGCGGAGGCGGCCTGGGTGGCTGCGGAGGCGAGGGCGGTGGCGGGCTCGGCGGAGGCGGGCTGGGCGGCGGCGGTGAGGGTGGCGGCGGTGACGGTGGCTGCGTCAACTGACTCGGCTGCGACGGCTGCCGATGCCAGGGCGGTTGCCGGCTCGGCGGACGCTGGC